ACCTGGTGGAAATGTCACAGCAGAAAGGTCATTCTCACCACTTTTAATGGAGTTCTCAAAAAAATCGGAGTGTTTTTGAAAACAAAAGACACAATAATCAAAGTCTTCTTCACATTTGTCAAAACATTATTAGTCAGTCAGTCATTTCATCATGTTGATATTTGTGAATAATATCTTATTAATCTGTACATTTCCTGCACATGTCATAGACGTCTAAAAAATTACCCAGACCAAAGTTCAAACTGTGAACGCCATATTGATGTCCAAGTTGGGTCATGGTTGGACGCCCAAATTGTGGACCTAGTTTGGACATTAATTAGATGTCCAGAACTGGTCATGGACTGCCATACCCAATATATACATGATCTGCATGTCCAGCTGACATCCAGTGGGAAGTCACAATACATACATTCAACAGCTATTTTATTAAGTATGCCTGTTCCACTGCTTATCACAGTAATCTAAATACCTAATCAGTCTTTCTCATCAGCAGCAACTCAGAGAATGTACCTGAGAACCTGAAAAAAAGATTATTAAATTTGGCATGGTTGTTGATCTCAGGAGGGTTGATTTCAGAGACTGTTGATTTACTGGGATTTTCCCATACAACGATCACCAGGGGTTACGGAGAATGGTTTTCCAATTTCCTTGTACTATTGTGCTAGGTATTACTGTGCAATGACAATAAAGAGTTGTCTTAAATCAGAAATCATCTAGGGATCATCAGTTATGTATTTTTGTTAGACAGTGTGTTGGTTGATCTGCTATTGTATACATATTTGAACAAAACTTGAAAACAGTAATCAACAGTAGTCAGGAAAGTGAGCGATCTAAAGTTGTGACTGACAGAAGTCCAAACTGTTTTGATGAGTAGTCAGATTCAAGTCAAAAGTCCATCAACACGACAGGAAAATATCTTTAGTAGTGACGTATGTGTAAAAACAATATAGGTGTATAAAATGAATGAGAATTACTAATGAACATATAACACCTGTTCTTAAACAGCTCCATTGGCTTCCTTTAAACCTCAGTGTCAATTTCAAGATCCTGCTTCCTACTTTCAAAGCGCTTCATAATCTCGCTCCTCCATATTTATCTGATCTTCTCCATACATACTCATCCCCTTGTACACTTCACTTTTTTTCAGCTTCCCTTCTGTCTGTTCCACCTGCTCCCCTGACTACCATGGGACTCAGAGCCTTTACTTGTTCTGTCCCAAGACGTTGGAAAGCCCTTCCACCAGATCTCTGGACCACAAACTCTCTCACCACTTTTTTTTTTATTTTATATTTTTGTTATTAATACAAATTAATTCATTTTGGGAAAGCCCCGCAACAACGAGGATGACAGTACAGGTCCAGCGTATTTCAGATGTGGGTCCCAGGTTCTGTGGAAAGAGTCCAAAGTGGAGTTGAGCATACAAGTTGTATATTCATTGGGAATACAGTCCATAACAATGTTATGCCAGGATTTCTTAGTTGGGATTGCTGGCCTGCCCCAGAGGAGCAGGATATTCTTCCTGGCCGCAAAAGATAACAGCTGGAACAGTCTCTTGTGCTTGCCTTTGATAACCAGATTGTCCATTACTCCCAATATAAGATGTGAGTAAAGTTGCCACCCCCCCACCTTCTTTAAATCCAACAAAAGTGGCATAAAATGTTTGTGCTACGTTTGTGCTGGTTTGTGCTGCAATAAATTTCATTTGTGCTGCTATCATTTTAAAGATATTCAAGAAAATATCTAGAGGTCATCAGAGGTCAACCAGCTGACTGCAGGTTTCCCCGATCTTATAAACAGATGCTATCATTTAAATATAATATTAATAAAATAATGTCTTGATGCTGCCACTGAAGGTGCTCAAGAACTTCTACTCCTGCACCATCGAGAGCGTCCTGACAGCAAACATCTGCACCTGGTTTGGGAACAGCACCAAGCAGGACAGACGAGATCTGCAAAGAGTGGTGCGCTCAGCCGAACGCATCATTCAATCAGAGCTCCCTGACCTGCTGTCCATCTACACCAAGCGGTGCAAGTCCAAAGCTAGGAAGATTATGATGGACCTCTCCCATCCCAACAATGGACTCTTCTCACTGTTGAGGTCTGGGAAGCGCTTCCGCTCCCTTAAGGCCAAAACAGAGAGAATGAGGAGGAGCTTCTTCCCCCAGGCTATTCGGGCCCTGAACCAGGTGTAGGACTGGACTCTCCCACACATCACTCACCACACGCACCACCACACATTTCCTATAATCCTATAATTCCTATAATTTATAATCTTTATAATCTCTTCTGCTATTTGCACATTCTTTACTGTAAATTCCTAAGTTAATTTGTAAATTTTGTAGTAACCTGTAAATTGTAAATATTGTAAAACTTTTCTTCTGTCATTTAATGGTCGGGCATTGTACAGCTACAAGCATTTCACCCCCATGTCATACTGTGTATGGTTGTGTGTGTGTGACAAATAAAATTTGAATTTGAATTTAATTATTCATACATCTTACCTACATCTAGACGTAGCGTTTTCAGTGGGAGAAACTTTCGTCACTCATCCGTGACTTCTTCAGTCTCAGCTGACTGCAGGTTTCCCCAACCTTTAAACAGTACATTTGCAAGTAAGGAAACTAGCACCACTGAATGAACAATGGCTGGGGGGTTAGTTCCATGATTGTTAGTATGCAAATTCTTATGACCATTGATCAACGACTACTAATCAAAGACACAGATTCTCGAATGGCCATGAGTACCATTCACAGAGAGTTGAGGAACCATGATGTGGGATAAACAGATGACCTGACAATGAACAAAGGAAGACAGAGGACTTAAATATACCGTGACACACTGGTTGTAACAACAATTTCTGAGCCATGTTTGTGGCTTGTTTCCTATACTGGCGCTAATCTTGTAATGTTTTATGATAAAAAAAAAGTAATAGATAACTTATTTTGTTTTATAAAGTTTGAGTCCTCACACTGAGTATTTAGAGGCGTTCCCAATGTATTTAACAATTAGATTTTCTTGAAAAACAGCAGAAATTAACAGAACTAAACTAATTTTTCACAGCAGTGTGCAAACAGTGATTCTTGCTATTTTAGGTTTATGTTTACTTTTATGTCTATGTTTAGTTTTTTATGGTCGGGCATTGCACAGCAACAAGCACTTCACTGCATATCGTACTATGTATGATTGTGTATGTGACAAATAAAATTTGAATACATCATGTTCTTCATGCAGCAACAACTTAACAAGAAGTAGTTTTTATTCCATCAATGTGGCATTTAGAGTTCAGAGGTGCATTTAACAGTTTGTTTAAAAAGTCAAAATATATCAGCAGGTTATGACATGGAAAAGACAGTTTATTGATATTTACATTTACATGATCTGTGACACTTTGTTTATTATGTTGATTGTTTTCATGAATGGTAGGATGTTCTGTCGCGGTGAGTTATGGGACAGCATTTTCTATTGTCTTTTCAAAAGGATGGTAAAATGTATATGTTAAAGGAAGCAATCTTTCCAAGCAACGACGAACATTTCTTAATGAATTTAGAGATTTGGAACAGCTCTTATTATGGCTCCCAAGCAAAATGGACTATTGGAACACACCTATTTTTGAAGTCTTCCTTTGTCACAGCCTCCCTCATAGCTGCATGCTCCGCTGTTTTCTTTTTCATGTTTCCAGTTTTGCACCTGCCCTGTTCATGTTTTACTGTGAGATTTTAAATTTTGTTTCTATCTTCCATATTTTCCATTTAGTTCCTAATTTCTACCAGACACATAGCTTTAGATGACAGGAGGTAAGGACAAGCTGAGAGAAAGCCATGCATTGCAGCAACTCAAATCCAGGTCTCTACATTAACCTTATGTCATATGGATAACCTGCTTTAACCAGTGAGCTAAACTGGTACTTATATCTAAGGTGGAGGCTTCAGCGTGATTTAATTTCATACACAGGATCCTGAAGCCTAACTCCATCATCAAAGGGTTACGGTAAAGTAAAAGGCTTTTTCCTTTTCCTTTTCCTTTTCGTTTTTCCTATTTCCGTTGTATTATGTGTGCTTTTGCAGCATTTTTCTTATTGCTGGTGTTTTCTTAAGTTGCAGTCCGTTTGGCCTCTTAGGGCCACTGTAGTTTCCCCCTTACTGCGTCTTGCGTCCTCATTTATGTTATAGCATTATTTTACTTTCTTCATTCACTGTCATGTCTAAAGTTAAGCTCCCTCCTTTCTAACAGATGTGATCTTGACTCATTTCCTCCTCATTAAACTTCTCTTCTTGAGTGCTTGGATCAGCCTCCTATCTTAGTGGGGTTTTTTTTGTTTTTTGTTTTTTGTTTTTTTACACCA